AGCCACGGTTTGGAGATGAGAGCTTCGACGAACGCAGGAGGACTGCCGCACTGAGACGGTTAGCCAGCTCGTCGGCAGTTAGGCAGAAGGAGAGCGAGCACACCGGGCTGTGTTCACGGAATCTGGTTGTCTTCAGAAAGACCTGCCTGGCAGCTCTGGAGGAAGGCTTTGGACTCTCCTAAAAGATCTTTAAGATGAGGAGAGCAGCTTATGTATCCAGGATGGTCTCCTGTTCTCACCAGAATTGGGACATGTGGACTCAGAGGCTTTCCAGGTCCCCCAATGAGTCTATGAACTCACCTCTCTGTGTAACATCCTCCTGCTCAACTTACCATTATTGAGAAAGAAAAGTGCCCAAACAAGGGGGCACTTGACTGTAATATATCCCTTATGCATTCAAAATTGTGTTTTTGTTTTGTTTTGTTACTTCTTGACCTCCTAAGGAAGATGGAACCCAAATAAAAAGAGGTAAGGGGGGAAGGTATAGCTCAAGTGGTAGAGTTTCTGCTTAGCATGCGCAAAGTCCTGGGTTCAATCCCCAGTACCTTCACTAAAAATGAATAAACTTAATTATCTATCCCCCCCAAAAAAAAATTAAGAAAAAAAAGAAAAAAAGGTAAGACTGCTCTGTGAGCGCACACTCCCATCTTACAAGGGTCCACGCCATTAGCACCGGTGGGTCTCCTGGCTTGGAAGTGTTTCAACATGGTGGTCCCGATTTCAAGGGGCTTGCAGACCTCAACTGGTCAGACACCAGATAATCAGAAATGAGAATATCACAGAAAGCAGGTTATCACTACCATTGCCTACTGAATTAAATCACAGATCAGAAAGGGCCAGAGCTTGTGGGGACGTTAAAGACCATCTAACTAACAACTAACTCTAACATACAACCAACTCCTTTATTTCATATACCAAGCAAAAAACGGCTGACTCGTTCAAGGTCAGTTACTGGGAAAGTCAAGGCTTAAGCCAGGATCCTGTGTGCCTGCCACTGACGCCTGAGACACTACAATCATATCTACAAATGAGAAAGAACATTGATAACTTTTTATATGCTACATTTCTTTGGGGAAGCACATTTAATTCCTGATAGAATAAAACTGCTTGTCTGAAGTTTCATTTTGAGCTTTTCTTCCCACAATATAGTTTTATGACAAAAATAATTCTTTCATTAAAAAAAATAAAAGTATGGTGGAAGGACGAATATGTCTTTTCAACCTACACAGGCAGTAGTGGAGATTCTTCCACACCTCCTAGAGAAGACCCCCTCCTGGGATGGTTTACAGTCTAGTGGGGCAAAGGCATAAACTGACAAACATAGTGGTAAGTCCAAAGTTGGAACTTGAGAAGGGGCATTTAATCCCAACTTGGAAGGGCAAGGAAGGTAACCAAAAAAAGGGGTAAAGCCTGAAGTAAGCATTAAAGGCAGAGTAGGAGTGAAACAGGCAAAAAGGAGTTCAAGGCAGGGCATGAGAGACCAAGGAAGCAATAAGGTAAAAGGGCCCAGAGGCCAGAGATGGTAAGTTCAGGAGACTTCAGGTGGTCCAGTTTGGCTGGTGGCTAGAGCGCAGTGGTGACTTACCTTCCCTGAATGCACAGCTCCAACAGTTTCCCTCAACATAGTAAAGAGTGTGCTTCCCGTGCCAGAGTGCCCTCAAAATAGTACAGGTTTCCTAGCTCCACTTGATCACCAACATAGTAATTAAAGGGTCAGACACAATTATAATAACTAAGGGAGGTACAGCGATGTGAGCAGTGGACTGGAACCTGGTATGGGGTGGCAGTCTTACCAATGAGTCGTTGTAGCCCTCCCTGGTGAGGCCAGTTGCACCATTTGTAAACCGAATAGTTAACCCTGCCCTAGATGATTTCTAAGGTCCTCCTTGGCTCTAAATTTGGGGAGGATCCCACTGTGCACACACTCCTGGAAGAGGTCTGTAAACCTCCTTGAAACCCAAGGCTGCCTAACAACCAGTCCTCCCCTGACCTCTACTCAATCATCATTTCACAAAAGGCAAAGTGATCTAAGTGCAATGTCTCCTAACTTGCAGTTCATAATTTTGATTAGGAAGCAGTGGTTTAATGGCTAAAACATTCAGCTAGAGGTTAGGAAATCAGAGCCTTCTCTCAGCCTACCATAGGATAAAAATGAGGAAATTTCACTTTAATAACAAGTTTTTTCCTCAGTCTTCTCATCTGTGCTCCTAGAAAAAAAAAAGTATGAAATATGCAAAGTGATGAAAAAGATAATATATACAAATTGTGGAGATTCACTTTAAGCCAGCACAGAAAGTTTACCAACAGCGATCAATTTTAACTTAGCCCCTTGAATCAAATCACAAATCTCACAATGGGGTCACTGGGCTTTCAGGCTTCACTGCACATCACAATCACAGAGGCCTCCTTCTGATAGGAGGTCACTTCTGGGAGCCGCCCACTGAAACTGTCATTCACCTGGAGGGCAGTTCTGAAGTTGCCAGCTTCACAAGCAACTCAGGGGATTCTCAAGGGAGGTGGTCATAGGACTGACCACACTTCACAAAATGCTGAATCTAAGTTGGGAAAAGGCACGCAGGGGAGAACCATCTAGAAATTAGAGTATGGGCTTCAGGTGCCTTTCCTGGGCAGTTAGGTAACCAGAGAAAGGGAGGAGAATAGCTATGACTGGGTCTGGATGAGGGCTTCCTCGTCCACTCATTTCATAAATACTTACTGTGTGCCCACGGAGCAGGCACGGTGCTAGACACTGAGGAGTACAGAAGGGAACAGGAAAGATGAGGTCCCTGCCCGCATATGGACGTGCCCTCTCACAACTCTTTGTACCTATCTGCTAAAATGGCTGCAGTTGCTCTGTTAGTCTTGAAGCCCGAGATGCCCCAGGGAGTCCACTAGAGGAGGGCTCTCAAACACAAGCAGCAGAAAAAAGATACAAGGAATGGCTATTCTGTTTCTTCAAGACTAGCCCTCCAAGAGATTCTGCAGCTCAAATTGAAGGCTTTCTCAGCCTTTAAGCAGTGTGGAACACACACTGAAGGTACTTCCTACCTGGTATGGTTTGATGTGTGGGAGGGTGTAAATGAGCAAAGGCTGGCTTTCCAGAGAAAGCGTGGTCAAGTTAAACATCTCCACAGACTTGGTTAACCAAATGGCAAGTCCCCAGTAAACAGCATCCAACAGGGATACCCGGCTATCCCCTGCTCCAGTGTCTCGCTGCAGGACAACCAGGCATCCTGCCAGACCAATGTTCCTAAAGCACACATTGGGTGGTATCACCCTCTGCCCCAGGATAGAATCTAAAGCACTGGGCTAGGCATTTGAGACCCTCTGTACTTGGCCCTTAGCTCCCCTACCCAGCACCTGTGATCCCCTGAACCTACTTTACTGTTTTCCTCCTTCTCAAACTTTGTTAGGTAGCCTTCCCCTGTTAGTATCCCCTGGGCCTTCCCTTCCTACCTATTTTTTCCGGGCCCAGTTCAAATGCCACCTCCTCCAGAAGCTGTGACCCTCTTGACAAGGAGGGCCTCTGTCCTCTGAATTCTTCTGCATAAACTTTGGGTGCTTTGCATACAATCAGAAGTGCTTTCTTGACTATGTTAATTTATCTTTCAAGCCAGGATGTGCTCTTTGAGGATAAGGATTGTTTTTATGTTTTTTTTAAACATCCCTTTTCAGGGCCTAGCACAATGCTTCAGTAAATACTAGTGGAATGCCTCAACAGCAAGTTTTTATCCTACTAGGGAATTCACTTAATTTTGTTCTATTATTTTAACGCATTGGTCAATTACAAATCTATTTCAAAGGCCACACTAATGAAACAGAAACAACTCTTTGATATGAACCTAAAGGCAAGGTATTACTCATCTACCTCTACAATTTTATGCACTGGTTTTGGGAGAGCCTGGGGAGTTATGGACGTTTTAACTTCCCCTTATCCCTTCTATAACCTCACTTTCATCTCATCCACCCCCCACACCACCCAATCCAACCCCTTCGTCACCTGTACTCCACCTCACTCCTTTTCAGAACCAACTGTGGCCTTTTAGGTGTTCCTAGGATTTTCACTTCCAAATTCTTTCCACCCTTACCCACCTCCTCTTATTTTTTCAGGCCAGAGGAGGTAGATCTTTCACTGCTCCAGCTGCAAGGTGCATCCCTCAGGCAAGTTTAGGGACAAGTCTGCCTTAATATCCAGAGTGATGATCCTGAGTATTCATGAGCTAAACACATTTATAAATAATACAAGATCTGGGGTATTTAGGAAAGTTTCAACTATATAACAGTAGTTTCTAGCTCAAACCCAGAGAGTCTTTCTGATTTCTAAATTGATCTATTTTCCTGCTTTTTCTAAAATATAGTGGATTTTAATGTTTTACTGATTTATTATTTAAAGAGAAGGGAGAACATTTATTGGATATCTTTAGGTGCCAAACACTGTGCTAGATATCTGAAATATGGACTTCACCTTATCCTCGCAATGACCTTAGGAGACACACGGTTCCATTTTACAGATGAAAAACTGAGGTCAATAGACATTAAGTGATTTACCCCAAATCAAGCAGTGAATCTGTGGGGCTATCTACTGCTGATTCTTTTAATACAAAGGTCAAGCTATCTTAATTATATCTTGCTATATACCCTTAAATAAAACCCAGAAGTTCATTCTACTTTGTTTCCACTTCAAAAAGAGGTTACCAAAAAGATATAACTTCAGAAAAAAGGAACTTTCTATATCCTTAAGAAAAAGGAGCACCGCTAGGCCACCAGGAATGCCATCTTTGATCTCAGGATCTTGACTGTTGGCTTAACTTTCTTAAAAAGAACATTAAATAGACTCAATTTTCAAGTATTACCTGCCCAACCATCACAGCACCTCTTTACCCCGTCACATAATCATCAAAATATTTAAAAAAGAAAAATCAGCCCACCATGTACACCCTGCAGTTTCTTTCTAGAAATTAGATGCCTGGTACAGTGGGGCAAAAACGGAAGACTCCAGGTTTCACAAAGAGGTCAAGTTTTACATTTTGATAAAATATAACTGAACTGGCAAAAAACCGTTAAACAACCAACCAAACAATAAAGGACCCAAGTATCCTCTAACCAAGTAAACACCTGCTAGTCCTTCCCCTTTAAGACTGTTAAAGAAGGTCACAGTTATTCATTTGACAACATTTATTGAGCACCAGCAATTGTGCTAGATGCTAAGGAATATAACTGATAACTGTGAACAAGAGAAACCAGACTCCCGCTTGACCGGATACTTCTGCATTTAATGGTCTTGCTAACTACTACATAATACTTGTTCTCTGCTAGTATTATATTTCTGGGAAAGTCAGAGTCAGATGTGGCCTCTTCTTGAATACTTTTAAAGTTTCTTTGTGGCAAACTGATAGAAATCTTTGTTTAACTTAGAGAAGGAAGAGATCGTCTCGAGGACCCTTCTGACAAGCACGTTGAAGGCCGGGTTGGCTCGCAAGCAACATGGCGGCAGGCGACCAACGAGGCAGTTTAGGCCATTCGGTTGCGCTTGTGGGTTGGGGAGTCCGTGTCGCTGTCACCACACTGGGCCGAGGGGCGCTTGCGGGTCCCCCCACTGTCCAGGCGGAGGGCCAGTTCTTCCGCGTTGTTTGGGTTCAAGTCGTCCTCGAGGAAGCTACTTCTTCGGCGGCCGCCACTGGCGACACCGCTGGCCTGAGGCGGGGAGCCGGGCGCACCGGACCTCACGCTGATGCTCGCCATGGCGCCACTGAGGCCGTGCAGGGCGATGGCCTCGTGGAACGGCTGCAGGTCGACGTCCACTGACGAGCCCGATTCAGTGGCCGCGGCCTGGCCGGGGGCCCCGGCGGGTGGCTTTGGGGGCGTCCTCGGGTTGCGCGGCGGGGGCGCGGGGGGCACTTTGCCACACAGGAAGCTGATCAGATCTTCGCGGAGAATGGTGCTGCGGCCCTTCTTCACCCATTCCAGCACATCTTTGATGCGACGCTGGTTGCCCACCTGGATGCCCAGGTCAAAACTTCGCTGGTGGGCATCTCCGCTCTCTTTGTAGAGGCTGGTCACGGCCATGGCCGCATTCTGGAAGGGGTCCCACATGGAGAGTCCTGGCTGTTGGCACCCCGTATCCTTGTAGAGCTGGGCCACGGCAGTGGCTGAGATCTGGAAGAGGTGCCACAGCTTCTGCTGCTCCCTCTTGAGCCCCGCCGCATCGGCGGCCGCCTCCTCCTGCATATCGGGGGGCAGCTCCTCTTCCTGCTCGGCCTCGGCCAGGCACTGGCGCTCCCACTTAGAGAACCAGTGCTCCTCGACCTCGGCCTCGCCCTCCTTCGGCTGCTCCTCCATCCTCCTTCTTCTGGCCGCTCCTCTCCTCTACCGCCTCCTCCTCCGCCTACTCGGGCTCCTCCACCTCCACCTCACCTCCTGCTTCGAGCTCCCCTCCTCCTTCTGCGGCCGCTGCCGTTGCCGCCGCCGCCGCCGCCGCCGCCGC